TCCAGCCTGGGCAACAGAGTGAGACCCTATCACAAGAAACAAGCGGTTAAGAGAAAACATTGAAAGAAAATGCCTGAACTCAAGTGTAAGGGAAGGTCTTCGGAAACTAAAAAGTTCAGGAACTGGTAGTTTTGGTGAACCCTTGGTGTGGATGTTGAATTCACTGTAATCATTGGCAGGGATTGGAATGGACAGGAAGATTTCGAGAGTCAAAGGGAAGGGTTCATAAATTTAAGAGAGTGTGCTTGTGCTTGATATTAGAAAGGAAGGAAGAATCCCTGATCTCACTCAGGCCTTATAATATATGGAGTGTGAGAGATTAATGGCCTCTGCTTGGATGGGCTGCAAGAGAAGTAGTGACCATTATGGAGAGCTTAAGTTATTTCAGGCAAAAAGGTTGAAGTTTATTAACTGAGATTGTTGTAGATACAGAGGAGTTTCTTTATCATAAAGTATTAACTCTAGAATTGCCCAAATTTCCTATCAAACTGGCCTAATTAATAACATGTTATAGTATATCTTGATTCCATGTAATTGCTTCTCCTGTGTCGCATATACCTCATTAAAGTATTCCACACATACTCTTTTATTTCAGGCTTGTTTTCTGGGACACTCAAGCTAAGACAAAGAAAAACGGAAATATAATACTGTTTATACAAAAGGGTGTGTGTGTGTGTGCATGTGTAATATACATTATACATACCAGTAAACATCAACAAATTATAATCAAACAAAAAATCTAAGATATGAATTTTTCTGTTTTTAGTAATCACCATCATCATCATCATCATCTCCCTCTAAGTCACTGTAAGGAAACAAGCTATATGATCTAATATGGGATGCTTACAGGAAGAGGCCAAGAGGCCAGACTGCAGGGGAAAATGAGAATGTTTGTATTCACCCAATCAATATTGATTTCATTAAAAAGACTATTTTTTTCCTTTAAATATAAATATTCTGTTCAGAAATCCTTAAGACTACTAGAAGTTTTAAAAGATATATCAACAACTTCTATAAACAAAAGTTGGAAATTATATATTTTTATTAACAAAGAGAAAATTATTAAAAAGATAATACGTACATAATTTATAATCAGGAAAATTATGGTTCTGAGAGTATATTAGGTTACGAGGGCTGCTGTAAACAATTATTACATTTTGGATGGCTTTAAAAAGCAGAAATAAATTTTTTCATCATCAGGAGGCTAAAGTCTGAAATCAGGTGTTACTAGGGTCATGCTCCTCCTGAAGACTCTAGAGGAGAAAACTTCCTTGCCCTTCCTAGCTTCTGGTGGTTTCCAATAATCCTTGGCATTCTTCATCTTATGGCTATATCACTCCAGCATCTACTTCCATCTTCACATGGCTATTTTCCCTGTGTGTGTGTCTCTGTGTCTCCAAATCTCTTTTTCTCTATAAAGATAACAAGTCATTGAATGTAGGACCTAATCTAATCTAATGTGACCTTACATGGACTTGATTATATCTTAAAAGATTCTATTTCAAAATAAGGTTAAAGTAACATGTACCCAGGTTTATAATTTCAACATAGGTATTTTAGGAAATGCAATTCAACCAACTCCAGGGTATTATCAAATAATTCTTGGAATTTTGACACTAATTCATATAAACCAATGCTTCTACTAAAATTTAAAAAGAACAAGTTAACAAATACAGAATATTTTTACTCAGGTAAACTATAAAATCTCATGACCTGGGAGCAGTCACTTAAAAAATGCAAATAAATCCTTTCCCTAGCCACTGTTATGATAGCTCTTGTTTCCACGAAGTTTCTCAGCCTTCAATTGCAATATATTCCTTTTTAAGAAAGTGTTATACAATCAATGACTATATGCACAAGAACAGACTAAGACTAGGCATATCCTTAGCGCTGCTAGTGTTTTAGCTTTGCTTTGCTGTTCACACTTCTGGAGTTGAAAACACTGTAAGGATCTGATCAGTTGAGGAAAACAAAAAAGAGAAAACAACTACATCAGAGTTGTTTTCCTACTTCAATGACTGGATTCTGAGCTTTCCCTCCATCTTAAGGTTCTCTGAGGTGGAATGCTTAGCATCCAAACAACGTACACATGCATACTGTAAAATTATAATCCTCTTCCTTACAGTAAACATCACTGGGAAGGAAAAAAAGGATTTTCTATGTTGGCAAATGACTTTGGTACAACGGATACATGAAAGCCAAGAGATTCTTTCCCCCTAGCCTTCATTACTGCAAATATGTGCTGTCATGTAGATCAGCTCTCAGGTCTAAAATGTAAGACCTTCTGTGAGACTGGCTATCTACTGAAAGTGCAAAAGGTGAAAGTCTTTTTACATAGTCCAATTAAATGCATTTTTTTCCTTTTTTTTTTCAAAAGACCACTACCTTTTATTAACTTTAAACCACTTCTGTGAAATAATTCCCAAGGAATTATTATGAAAGGGGATTTGTCTTAGTTCGTTTATACCACACAAATAATATTACCAAATTTGGGATGTTTTCAATCTATAACCATCTTTGTCCTCTTTGATGGCCTTTTTCCTACATTCTTTATAATAATTTATTTTTCTTTAGCAAAATTCAACATGATTAATTTTCGTGTCAAGAAACTTATTAGAATTTATAACATGCATATGAATATATGACACTATCCTGTTGTGTTTTTCATTACCACGTTGTGTGGGCTTACTTTCTTCTCTTCATTTGCATTACTGTAGTCTTTCTCTAAAATCAAGTTAGTTTACAAATGGATCAAAGATTGTCCTTTTCTTACAAGGTGTGTTCAGCTCCACTCTTCCAACATTAGTCCATTTTGTCAACCAGCATTGTCACAAACTATGTAATTGTCACATTGAACTTTTCTCTATACCATTTCTCAACTGATTCCCCATCTTCTAATACACAAGCTTCAAACTCATATTTGCTTCAAAACCTGCTACTAGTCCCTCAATTCTCACCTCTATTGAATGAATTATTAATGCTTTTGGTTTATGCACCATTACCTGCAATCACACCTACTTGTTTCTCAAATGTGTCCTGTCCAGAACACATTTCTCAAATAATTTCTGAACCTAAAAATGAAAGCTACTTCAAGATAATTCCTCTGTTTACAATTTCTGGCCTTTAAATTTTTATCTGTAAAATCAGTGATTAGATTATCCCTAACTAAGTTTACGTTTTCTGTGGTCTTTAAAACTTGGCACAAGCTCTATTTGCTAGGTACTACTATAAATTAATCTTATAAAAACTCAGTAAGAAATTCTATTTGATATATGAATATACTTATTTAATCTCATCATTTATAATGTGACTCAAATATTTCAAGTAAAAAGAAAATGTAAAGATAAGTTTAATAAATAAGAATGCATATTTTTTCCAAAAGTATATATTGGAGAACCTTTGTTTACACTGTGACCTCACCTGTTGCTAGTCTGTAGCTAAGGGTAAACTATTCAATTTGAATGTCATGTCAAAACAAGTCAATGCTCTTTGTTCATAGTAACTGATGAGTAATGGGCTATTTTATTTTTAAAGCCACGTGGGAAAATACCATCTGATTAAACAGAATATAGACAAAACAGTTGTAATGTGTAAAAAAAGAAAATCTTCAATATTAGTTTTCTTTTTTCCTTTTATTACTATGTTTAAAAAAGGGAATCAGGGGATCTTAGAGCAGAGGAGCAAAGGGGAAAGGCCCAGATTTTTTGGCTGATGAGAAGATGTGTAATGCTAAAAATACAATGAATAAGTAAACATTGAAGACTATCCATTATTATCCTAATGATTTCAATAAATACTTAAAATAAGTACTCATAATGCAGAAACCTTTTCAGCAGCTGAACTAAATACAATATGTTTTACTTTATGATAATCTGAAACCAGAGGGTTAGTACAAAGGTGATTTAGTATCAGTATAGGACTTAATGGTAGTAAATATCCAATCCTCCATTTTTAAGTATATGAATCAGGTCTGATTAAAGCTAGTAAAGAAGAAAAAGTAAGAAAAATATTCAATACTACATATGTACTAAAGAAAGATCTTGTTAAATAAGATTTACCTGCTTAACTTGTAACATTGCTTAAGTTCAATTGTTTAGTTAAAATACTGACTTTTAAATAAGAATGATGTGAGTAATTTATTAACTTGTATCTCAGCTAAGTCTCTAACTCTTGTGTTATTCACATAGTGTGATGGTGACCACTCAAGATAGTAAATAAACAATATAAATAAATATATTGTTTACCTAGATGTTGTCAGAGTTGAATCTTGAAGCATGAATAAATAAATAATATTTATTAATTTGCATGGTATTCTGCTAGCCACTTTATTTGTCTATGTGATGTCTTACAATACTCTAGATTCATGGCATTATGGGCTGAATTCCCAAGGCCCCCACTCATTCATATTAAAGCCCTAATGTCATTGCATCAGAATATGACTGTATTTAAGATAAGGCCTTTAAAAAGGTGATTAAGTTAAAATAAAGCAATTAAGTTTGACCTTAATCCAATCTGACGAGTGTCCTTTTGTGAAGAGGTCATTTTGACACTCAAAGATATACCAGAGATGCATGAGCACAGAGAAAAGATCGTGTAAATACACAGGGTGGGCCACCATCTGAAAGCCAAGGGCAGGTTCTCAAAAGAAATCAAGTTTGATGACACCTTGACTTGGACTTCCAGCCTCCAGAACTATGAGAAAATAAATTTCTGTTTTTTAAATCACCCAATCTATGATATTTTGTTATGACATTAACACACATAGGTCAATCTACAGGCATTGCTTAAAATTTTTTTCCATTTACAACATTGTATCCTTGTTTTTTGTTTTGTTTTGTTTTAGCACCAGGGAATGACTGAATAAAAATATATCTTCTCATTTCTTGTTTCAGCTCTTTGGTAACCCATTATACTATAAAAATATACTACCAAGGAAGGCATTTCCACTCTGGCTAGCCTCTACTCTGCCTTCTGAACTTCAGTTTTATTTTCACCAGGTTGATTTTCCAGGCACTATGTAGGATCTCACTGGCAGCCAAACCAGTAGACATCACAGCTGAGAACTAAAGTTGCTGAACTTCAGATCAACCCAGGGAAGTAGCTTTCCACCAGTTGCTATGGGCTGTACAGGGCCAGGAATGGGCTGAGGTGATCCTTACACAGTGGTGTGATCCTTGCAGAGTGAGATCTCCTGAAGTTTTAACTGTAGGCACCTTACTCTCTCTTTACTCGAGTTTCAGCCCTGTTGATGCCATATCCCTCCAAAGCATTTCTTGGCATTCCTTTAGAGCATTTACAGTTTTGTTGGGAGTACACAGGAGATAGTTAGATGAGATTAGAAAAATGTGTTAGCTTTAAAAAAAAGTGCTGAATGATGATCTAAGTGAGTTCTTCATGAGTTTCAGGACATAATTTGCTTTGCCTCAATGCTATAAAAATAACTTCATAGAGCATAAGAGCTTGAAGGACATATAGGATTTTAATAATGCCTGGAAGCTGGTATCTTCAAATCAAACAATGTAAAAAGATGGATAATGTAAAAACTACAATAAGTACTATTGTAAATAATTTAGAAACTTCGGAGAAAACATGAATTAGAAGCCTGACTATACCTCTTACCAGCTGTGTAACATGGAGCAAATTACAGCCTCTCTGAACTTCTATTTCCTTGTGGGTTTGTTGAGATTATTAGAAATAACCTACATAAAATGATTTACTTTGTGCCAGGCAAATGCCCTGGACTCACTAAATGATTCTACACTTATTATCATTGTTTCTTGATTAATGCAAATCTAACCACCATCATCTCAGCAGGCCTTATGTTAGCACTCACATGACAGACATCAGAAATCAAAATTGACCTTAGCAATGATTTAGTCCAGTCTCCTCATTTTCCGGAGAAAATTAATGCCCAGAGAAATTAAATGACTTGCTTTAGGTTACAGGGCCAGTTGGCAGCAGTGACAGCATCAGCCACAGAACATATGATTTCTTACTCTGGTTCAGAATACTTTTCATTTCAGATCACTTCATTAATAGCAGTACCCATATCTTAAACATGTATTTTTAAATGTGTACTAATTGCATATGAACAGTCAATGAACTGAAATAGATGGAATTAAATTAAGACTAAGTGCTGTGCTAGTGCTACAAATTTACACTTAAAACAACTCTGATGTACAAGTAATTGAAGGTTCTTGGTTGTCTTGCACAAATCTAATCTTCCCCGCAAGCCCTGACCCTGACAAACAGAGAAGAAATTCATGGTGGAGATTTTAACTGGCTAATTAATAGTATCTTACACTCTGGTTTATTTTTTTTTTTTCAAGAAGGGAATTTGTTTAATAGATTGCCACTTATAAGTCCCAAAATGGCAAATGAGAATGTGGGTATGGGACACAAGGGGACCACTTGCCCTTGCAGAAGTGGAGAAGAGATGCGGGACTGCTGGAGTGTCCTTTGGGCCCCTGGCTCCTTCCAGATCTTCGCTGTAGGATGTCTGGTTTGTTTATTTATGTATTTATTTTAATTTTAATTTTAATTTACTTTAATTTATTTATGGAGACAAAGTCGCACTCTGTTGCCCAGGCTGGAGTGCAGTGGCACGATATGGGCTCACTGCAACCTCCACCTCCTGGGTTAAAGTGATTCCCCTGCCTCAGTCTCCCGAGTAGCTGGGATTGTAGGTGTCCGCCACTATACCCAGCTGATTTTTGCATCCGCCACTATAGCTGGTGATGTTTTGCATTTTCAGTAGAGATGGGGTTTCACCACGTTGGCCAGGCTGGTCTTAAACTCCTGACCTCAGTTGATCCGCCCACTTTGGCATCCCAAAGTGCTGGGATTGCAAGTGTGAGCCACCGCACCCAGCTGGATATCTGGTTCATTCCTGAGATTTTTATGCTGTGTTCTGAGCTACAACATATAATTTGGACTTGTTCTAATGGATACTTCAGTGGTTGGTTGTGCTCTTTTTTTAATTTTCCAAACCACCCCCCATTAGCTGCCCAACTAGGCTATTTATTCTGTGGCTTCGGCACTGTGACCACCTTGTCTCTTCTCAGGGTAGTCCCAGGAATGCCCCCCAGCTCTGGGCTCAGCTCTCTTCCATCTCTTCCAGGAGACATGTGGGCACTTTGGGGTCCCATTCTTGTCCCCTTACACAAGGGCAGCTCTGAACCTTTCCTCAGCATTCTCTCTCTGCTTAACAATGCCATATCTTCATTTTATATTTTCTGTGCCATGGCTGATCTACGTTGCCACAAACACCACATAGTGAAGCTATCTTTTCAAAGATCAAAACTGAAGTGGGCAGAAACCTTTCCCTTCAATTAACTCCACACCTCTGACTCTGGGATTTCAGAAGAGCAAGTGAAATCTAGGCTTCCTGTTTTACTCTTTGTTTTTTTCTTCACCTTGGTGTCTTTCTTCCCGGACCTCACTGGACCATAAAAAATTGTCATTACCTTTTCTCTCTGTCTACCCAAAACTCCCCTTCAATTATTATTTTTTTTTGTACCTTCTCTGCACTTTGGTTAATGTTAAATATCTACAATTTGAGTCCGTTAGACTAGGTTCTTGATAGTGCAATCTCAGGTTTCTAAAAACTAGTGTTTAATTAGGGCAAATAATATGTTGGCTAACTGTTCCACAAATATTTTTCTCATTACAATACGTACTTTTCTGTAGACCTAAATTGGACTATGTCAAAAAATTGCTTGAAATTCTTCAAAAATGTTTCCTTTTCACTTAGATTAAAATACAAATTTTCTACAACAATTTGGAGGGTCTGACCTCCCTACCTCCTCCATCTTCCAAACTCACCTCCATCCTTCACCCCTGATTCATTGCACCCTAAAAACACATATTGAATCAAAGATCCCTTCAGGATCTTTTATCTCATTCTTTTCTTTCTTTCTTTTTTTTTTGATTCTTTGCACTTCCAGTTTCTTCTCATCCTTTAAAGGTCAAGGCTGGAAAGTGACTTCTCGAAGAGGAGTTTCCTAAACTTCTTGTTGAAACGGTTTGAAAATAACCTTCCACTCCTTTCAGCAGCTTGTTTCTAGCACGGCGCCTGGGTTATTCCCACATATACTTAAGAATCTGAATCCATTTTGTTCATTAATATGGAAGTTCATTGTCTGTTACCTGAGACTATAGAAAATACATAGAATCAAAGATGATCTTTATCTTGTTCACCATTTTGTGCTTAGAACAATTAATAAATAGTGCCTGAATAACAGTAGGTGCTCAATATACAAGTAATAAAAATGTAGATGGGGGATGAATGAGTATATGTGGATCTGCTGGGAGTCATCATGAGGTGGACATTTCTTGATGTCCCTAAATTATTTACACTTTTGAGAATACTATGAAGAACATAATAAAGAATGATGATATATAAGAACTATCAAATCCTGTGATAATTTTAGATGATTAAGAACATAGTCTTCAATAAAAGACTAACATGTATTAAAAAATGAAAGAAACAACTTCAGAACTTAGACTATATTTCGAACTAGGATTTTATTATCTAATTGCTTTATCCATTTTATTATTGCTTATTTGGTAATATTTCTGCCCTTCGTTGTATTTTCTTTTGTATAAAACATCTATTCATTGTACAAACCTTCTGAACATGCTCCTAATAAATTAATCAAGTATTCTGTTTCTCATCTGTATAAGACATGCAAATACATACACATTTATGAACATCTTTATCAAAAACTGAGCACTAAAATGGCATAAAGATTGGCTAGTCTATCCAGGAATATTAGGACTGTCATACAAGATAATTGCTGCCAAATATTGTTACCTTGTAATTGGTCACAACAAAGCAGTTCTCTTTTCAGGTAAAGCTAATAGAAAATTAACTGAGTAATAACTATTTCTTCATTATTTCTTTTTGTTCCTCCTCGTTTTTCTCCTTTTCCTTTTCTTCTAAGAAACAAAATTTAAAAACCATGTTATTTAAAACTCAATTGTATTACTCAACTGAAATATGCATAAAGACATAAAGTAAGACAGAATTTTGTAACTAGACTTGCATCGTAATTTTCATTTAATTGTCCTTTATTTAGAATTAAACCTCTGTTTTTCTTCTACAGCTCAGCTACCTATTTAGAAAGTAATTTTGTTGTATGGTAGAAACTGTTCATTTATCAGGGTGGTTTTTTTTTTCTTTTAATTAACCATTGCTTCATGTGTGTTCTAGATTTATAGTTGCAATTTGAAACAATAGATTTTACCTGGGTCAAGTTGCATTGGAGGTTAATGATTTTTATCATTCAGTTGTAATTTAGCCTTCTTATGTTTAAGTTTCTCTAGAGTTTTCTCTGTTGTTTTTCTGTCCTTGCTTTTTACTCTCGCCTCTATTCCTAAATTAAATCTCAACTTTATCTTTGTTCCCTGCATGACTTAACAGAACTGAAATTTAAATGGAAAAAAGTTAATGTATCAAAGCAGAAACTTACCCTATTCTGTTACAGTATAGGCATTCACTTCCCAGAGACTTGTTCAAAAAGACAATATCTAGACATTAAGGTTTTGATTATAAATATCACTAGTCAAATTGTATTTTCTTTTCAATCTATACTGACTAAAACAAAAAAGTTGCTCTTTATTCACTTTCAAAATATATAAATGTATTTATTTTATGAATAACACATCAAGTATTATTTTTTTCACAATAGTCTATGGTCAATTTAATGAGAAGATGAGTCATATTTACTGCCTTCAATGAACATACAAACTACGGTATTTATAGACTAGCTCTTTAGCTCTTTGTTTATTACATATCTTTTGTATTTGAGGTTTTACTAATTTTATTCATGATTTGATTAATTCCAGCAAAACACTGAAAGATAACTGGAGAACAAGCAAAACATAGTAGATTGCTTTGGTACTTTGAAGATTTTCTTTAAAAAAATTAGTTACTGAATATACTGAAGTTCTACTTTATTATATTATTATGTTAGTAAAGTTTCACATTTTATAGAAGTTTGCTATTGGTTGATGAAATATTTAATAGAGGCATTGGCCAACAAAAACTCTAGATTTATCTTTTAATTCACAAATAATTTTAATTGAGATTAATACAAATCTGATTTTTTTCTTCAGTCCTAATATATTTCTCCTCCCCTTTCTCTGCCTTTTTCTTCTTTTTCTCTTCTCCTTCTTCTTCCTTTTTTCCTTCTCTTTCCTCC